AACAAAAAAATCACCGTGTATATTTTCAAATTTTCACATAGTCAAACAACAAAATCAGTGTTATATTTTCAAAATTCTCACAGTAGTCAAACAACAAAAATCAGCGTTATATTTTCAAACTTTTCACAGGAGTCAAACAACAAAAATCAGTGTTATATTTTCAAAATTCTCACAGTAGTCAAAGAACAAAAATTAGCGTTATATTTTCAAAATTTTCACAGGAGTCAAACAACAAAAATCAGCGTTATATTTTCAAAATTTTCACAGTAGTAGAATTTTGAAAATATAACGTTGATTTTTGTTGTTTGACTTCTGAATTAGATTCTTTATTATTTAGTTTCTTTAAATGTAATATATGGTGTGGTTTAGTGACCGAAACCGCTACGCAAATCCTGGGTTGTGACGCAGGGTTAAAATGAACTTCTAATTCAAGTTTTAACAATAACAGGAATTTCCATAAGATGACAGAGATTAGTTGCATATCTTGACAGTATGGGACTTGGATATATTTAGTCCCGTAATTTCAGAATTTTGTTACAGGAAAAATGCTCTAACGCATTATACACGAGGAATAATCGTTCTTAGCAGGCCAACATGCCCATAGCTCTAAACAGAAAAGTTTTCATCTTCTCAGGAAACCACCTTACATATCTCCATGTGTTTACTTGCGCTGAACTCCCGAGGGGAATGATTCTTTCACTCATATATAACAAAGTGTCCATCTCCTGACCCTGATGCAAAAACTTCTTTTATATCTTTGTTCACTGGAGCGACCTTCGAGGCTGCAAACAGAATCATTAACAAAGGCACAGGATTTCACCACTGGTATGAAAATTATTGCACTCTGAAGTCACTCATCCTAGACAAAGAACTTTTATACCACCCAATCACAATGGCGATAATATTTAGTGGCAACAGTTCGAAAAGTGAATCAACGAAGAATGTGAAACGACGAAAAATAAGTTCACATTTAAGATGCAAAATCATTATATACACTCACGTTTGTGAAAATTGCAACACCATGAAGGACTTACGCGAGTGAGCTGAAATTTTCAGGAAATGCAAAGTAGCGCATGATATGCAAATGATTAGAATTGCAAATCCGTAGCGCATGCGTATGCTGAGCAGCGCCCTCTGAACGGCTGATGGATCCGAATAAATTAGACGGCTGTAGCGAGGCGTGTATGGTTATCGGTGGTTCTGCTAGTGGTAAACGTTAACTCAATCTGTACTTATGCCTCGTCGACGAAAGAGAGCGAGATTTGAACAACTTACAGAGTTTGAACGAGGGAGAATCATCGGCCTTCGTGAGCTGGATTGTCGTATCGTGCAGTAGCCTCTCGTGTGCAGCGTAACAGCAGCACAGTGATGCGCGTTTGGAAGCAGTGGACGGGGACGAGTATCGGACAACTAGGAAATCCGAGAGTGGACCCCGAAATGTGACGTCAGCTCGCGATGATAGACACCTGGTCCGCATGGCGCGGACGGACCATACAGCTTCCTCTAGACAATTGGCAGCACGGTGGTCAATAGCTACAGGTGTTTCATTGTGTGCTTCATCAATTCGTAGAGTCTGCTGCAGTGTGACTGCGCGCACGGACTCCTTTATACAGGATCCCCCTAACCCATCGCCGCCTGCGGCTACAATGGGCCAATCAGCATGGAGACTGGGTGCTGATTGGCAGCATGTCGTGTTTTCTGACGAATCCCGCTTTAATTTGTGGTACCATGAGGCCGCATTCGTGTCAGACACTATGCCGGTGAACGCCACCTTCCGGAGTGCATTATCGAACGCCACAGTGGACGAACACCGGAGTTATGGTCTGGGGCGCCATAGCATATCATAGACGATCTCAATTGCTATGAATTGTGGGCAATCTGAAACAGCAACCGGTATATTCCGTGAAGTTCTACAGCCCGAAGCTGTTCCCTCCTTCAAAGCTTGCCAGGCGCTGTATTTTCAACAGGACAATGCCCGCCCTCATACTGCTCGGATTGTTAAATCCTTCTTGCAGCGCAGCAGGTACAGCTTCTTCCTTGGCCTGCGTGTTCCCCGGATATGTCGCCAATTGAACATGTGTGGGATGTCATTGGTCGGCGTCTTGCTCGTGATCCTCGTCCTGTTGCGTCTGCAGAACGAACTTTGGGTACGCGTACAAACGATATGGAATGCTCTTCCTCAGTCAGACATTCAAACTGTTTTGACTTCATGCCACGTCGTATAGCAGCACTTATTGCGGCGCGTGGTGGCCCACACAATACTGATTCTGATCTCTTGTTCTTGTTTGTTTGCTTTGAACATTTAATCATTTATTTGTACCACTACCACTCAACTGTGTATTAAATTGCATTCAATTATGACGATTCCTTCTTGGTGTTGCAATTTTCACAAACGTGAGTGTATTTTGTGAAAACGTTCAATAGATTCTACGCAATTATTTTTTGGTTGGAGCCTTTTCAAATATGAAAAGTAAATGTAGTATTTTCGGCATATTTTACTTTTTTACTATCAAAAAGATAAAAAATGCTTTTCAAGCGAAGAAAAAAATTATCCGATGTGCATAAAGGGAAAAAAAAAGATGTACTGAAAGAACGCCAGTGCCCCAACTGGGTTGCAAAACTTGATCCGGCAATTTTGACCTTGGAGATGCATCAGATTCTGGAAGTTCAGTTGGAGGTGATGAAGACACAATTATGCAAACCGGAGAATAACGACTCGTGAGATCACTGAAAAACTAAATTTATTGAATTCGAGCGTTCATGATCATTTGAAACGCACAGGTTTAATCTCAAACCTCCACATAGGGTTTGTCACGTTCTTAAGCTGTTATTTAGCTCCAACTGTCCTCCTATAACATGGAGTATTTTCAAGATCAAAACTGGCCGATCGAAATTTTGCAAACCAGTTTGGGCACTGGCGTTCTTTCAATACATTTTTTCTCCATACACATCGGATAATTTTTTCCTTGCCTTGAGGAGCGTTTTTACCTTTTGGATAGTAAAAAAGTAAAATATGCCGAAAATGCTGCTTTTCATCGCTTTTCATTTTTCAAATTTGAAAGCACCCTAACCAAAACCTACTGCGTGAAATCAATCGCAAATTTTCCACAAACACGCCTTGGTACGTCAGCTATCAAAATATATAATGATTATGCGTCTTAAGTGGGAATTTGGCTTTTGAAAAATACTATTAAGTCTTCTGTTGTCCAAATGTATTGCTTGAAAAGCTGATGTATTTTAGTTAACTTATAGATTGCTTTATATTTTCATTAGATATATCATTGCCAATACTCTCATCGTTTAATGTTGTCAACAGATGAGGTCTAATGTTACGACACATAAACACTAATGTTACGAAACATAAACACCTCCGATTGGAGGATTTTCGTATTGTTCCTAAAACGTCATTCGTAATACGTCATAAGCCTTAGTGGCTATAAATTAAATTTTTTAGGATATGAAAGATCACATACTTTATGCACTGAAAACGGTTGTATTTCCATACTTACCATATAAGATACAGTCTCCCTCCTTTCCACTTGGCCCACCAGCGGCCGAGCGGTAAAGTCGCTGAACACTGGTAGTTCGGTCCGAGGTTCGAATCCCGCGAACGGGCTGGCTGCATGGGCGTTTTCGTGGTTTTCCCCATGTGTAACGTGTATACGAGCCAGTTTCCCTTAGAAAGTCCTCCACGAAGGCATCCCTCCTCTTAGGCAGATAACCCTAGTGTGCTTTGCCATAATTAAATACATCACATCCACTTGTCTTCCTGATGGCAATGGAAACACGTTCGAAGCGTATTTAAGAGGTCCTGAGTTCGAATCCCGACGAGGGCAATTATGCATTTTTTCAGTTTCCTTACATAGAAAAATTCTAAAAAGACTTTACATTGTTACCCGAGCTGAAAAGATGGTGGATCGTAAGTCGTCACCACCACGATATGGCCACTGGGCCCCTAATCCCCAGTCACCCAAGTATTTTCTCCCTCCTTTCCGCATGTCTTCGTGGTGTAACTGGAAGCACACTCGCCGCGTATTCGGGAGGTCAGGAATTAGAATCCCGACGAACGTGTTGTATATTTTTCACGTTCCTGCATCGATATAACATAATGGCTCTACAACTGTCATATCTACATTTTTCTAACATGATTCCTTCGTCAGAATATTTATTTATTTAGTTGTTTAATCATCTTATGTTCCCCAGCACCAAGAGGTATGGGCCAAACTTTAATAGAATTTTCATTTTCACATTAGGAACAAATGTTTCAGAATTTCTTTCAGTTGTTTGAACTCAGTAAAAGTGCATTATACTCTAGAAAAGGTTTCGTTTCTTTCGCCATCATGCACTTTCTCCTTGGGAAAAAACATATTACTCCTGAATGCATAATAGTTTTGATAGAACTATTTCTGTTATTTTTCTGCTTAGGAATTTAGTGTTTTGAAACGAACAATGCTTTTTTTTTCCAATTTTCAATTACTATCTTAAAAGGTTTCAGTTTATTTAGTTAAATGCTTCTTGTTGTTTACTCCTAGCGGTTATTTGTTCCCGTGTCTGAAACTTCTGATCATTGATGTTCGTTCTTGCAAGCAAATCAATGACCTGATTTCTGGAGTCAGTTTCGTTTCCGGAGTTTAATTTTTTTTTAAAGTTTTATTTCATTGATCGCAAGGTCCCAAGCATTTTTAATTTAATTGTTTCGGGATTTGAGAAACATGCTAACTCAGAACTTGAAAGCACTGGCGAATAATATCAAAATATTTAATTTAATTATTTTTTTATTTCTAAATTTTAAGAATTCTGTTTTTGAAAACGGGTATAATGTTAAAATAGGTTAATCGACAACCTTGTATTCGGCATAGATTTTGTAAAATCCGAATCTATTTCGATAGCAAAACGGGTGCTCTTCATAAGAAGCAGAAAATTCTGCAAAAGCGAGAAGATACTAAGATATTAAGTTGGTTTGCTGGGTTCTACTGTACTGTGGTAGTACTTCCCAGTAGCACTGAGAGAACTCCCGAAGGACCTGGCTTTGTGGAGAGCTCAAGTGGATCCTGTAGCAGGAGGTCGTCAGAATGAAGCTAGAAGAGAAAAGATACTAAGTTGGTTTGCTGGGTTCTACTGTATTGTGGTAGTACTTCCGAGTAGCATTGAGAGAACTCCCGAAGGACCTGGCTTTGTGAAGAGCTCAAGTGGATCCTGTAGCAGGAGGTCATCAGAAGAAAGCTAGAAGATAAAAGATACTAAGTTGGTTTGCTGGGTTCTACTGTACTGTGATAGTACTTCCCAGTAGCATTGAGAGAACTCCCGAAGGACCTGGCTTTGTGGAGAGCTCAAGTGGATCCTGTAGCAGGAGGTCGTCAGCAGAAAGCTAGAAGAGAAAAGATACTAAGATATTAAGTTGGCTTGCTGGGTTCTACTGTACTGTGGTAGTACTTCCCAGTAGCATTGAGAGAACTCCCGAAGGACCTGGCTTTGTGGAGAGCTCAAGTGGATCCTGTAGCAGGAGGTCGTCAGCAGAAAGCTAGAAGAGAAAAGATACTAAGATATTAAGTTGGCTTGCTGGGTTCTACTGTACTGTGGTAGTACTTCCCAGTAGCATTGAGAGAACTCCCGAAGGACCTGGCTTTGTGGAGAGCTCAAGTGGATCCTGTAGCAGGAGGTCGTCAGAAGGAAGCTAGAAGAGAAAAGATACTAAGATACTAAGTTGGCTTGCTGGGTTCTACTGTACTGTGGTAGTACTTCCAGTAGCATTGAGAGAACTCCCGAAGGACCTGGCTTTGTGGAGAGCTCAAGTGGATCCTGTAGCAGGAGGTCATCAGAAGAAAGCTAGAAGATAAAAGATACTAAGTTGGTTTGCTGGGTTCTACTGTATTGTGGTAGTACTTCCCAGTAGCATTGAGAGAACTCCCGAACGAACTCCCTCCGGCTTTGTGGAGAGCTCAAGTGGATCCTGTAGCAGGAGGTCATCAGAAGAAAGCTAGAAGATAAAAGATACTAAGTTGGTTTGCTGGGTCCTACTGTACTGTGGTAGTACTTACCAGTAGCATTGAGAGAACACCCGAATGACCTGGCTGTGTGGAGAGCCCAAGTGGATATTGTAGCAGGAGGTCGTCAGGAGGAAGCTAGAAAAGAAAAGAGAAGAAAAATGCAGAACTGGTCACCCTCTGATGGCGGTTCAAAAGCGAGAAAGATTCTATATTTGACCGAATTATTGCGAAGGGCAGCAACGTCGCCAGTTACTGAAATAAAGCCCTAGGGCAAATGACATAATGAAATCCTGACATGGAAGCAATCTCAAAAGAGAAAACGGAGCAAAAGGGATTAAGAGAAGTACCAAAAGGAGCAAGACAACCTAATCAGACAAGTTCTCAAAACGTGACGAGCGATGAGAGTTTTCCAGAAGAATCCAAGACAATGCAGGTTCAATGACAACAATATCATAAAAATAAAGTACAGTAATGGCTTCAATGACAAATTCTACAATACGGCCTCAATCAATACAACTAAATAGAACACAATTCAATACAGCAATACAACACAATTCAATACAGCAATTCTACAACAACCTAGGCTACAAAGTTACAACACAACAATTTCATCCCATCAATGCAAAATACATCACAGCAACAGCTACCACAATTTCCTAAGAACAATATTCAAACAGCAGAAATACAACTATCAAGATCAGATGCATTAGAAGTATAAACAGCTACCAATTGAGGAGCTAAGGGATAAGGTTGTCATCTCCTCCCATGAAGGTATGTGCTGCCAGTGACCGGAAGCTACGATTTTCGAAGAGAATTTCATAATTAAAAACTTGAGAGTAAGTAAAGAAGTCTCGTTGCACAGCTTTGTTGAAGAATCTCAAGCTTTAAATCTCTATGTAAAAGTTCATTACTAATAAGATAGTAATAATGAGCAGAATTTTGTTTTGTGCAACTTGCAATTGATGAAGCTGCGTTTGAGTAACCGTATTCCAAGCGGGAGCAGCATAGCATAGTATTGGTTGAATGCAGGTGGTATAGATATGTCTTTTGGTACGCAAGCTAAGATTAGAGTATTTTACAATCACAGGTAGAAATATGCACATGATACCAATGGCCTTGCTCTTGACACTTTTAATGGGGTTGGACCATGTGAGTCTATGATTTAAAATGATTCCTAAGTATTTAGCCTTTGTGACCAAAGGATGAAAAGGAAGAGTTCTTTAAAAACAATGTGCTTCTTAGTTTTGCCGAGGATTAAAAGTTGGGACTTGCAAGCATTGATTTTTACACGCCAATTGGTGCACAAATCTTCTGCAGCATATAGCTAATTTTGCATTTGGTCGATAGCGGGATTTGCTTTGATAGATTTAATTGGCATCGCCGTATCATCGCCATAACATGCTAACAGAGAATAATTGTCCAAACAAGTCCTAGATGTAGAAAAATGTAGCACTGGACCGAGGATACTCTCTTGTGGGACGCTGGATCTTATGGGTCTTGAAGTAGACTTTTTATTTCCTTGAGCAACGAAGAAAGTGCGTTTCTGTAAGAAGAAGATCAGAAAAGTTCTCTAGGAAGTCCCAAATTGATTAGTTTGAATATGAGCCCGTCATGACAGACGCGGTCAAAGGCTTTTGCCACGTCCAATATAAGGAGAGCAACACTTTGCTTATTATGGACTGCGGATCCAACAAATTCTACAATTCTTACAAGTTGAACTAAGGTTTTTCCTGGAGCCGTACTAATCGTTAGGTAAAAGGTGAAGAAATGGTTCTAATCTTTTAAGTATAAGACGTTCGTAAGTTTTACCAAGGCTTGATAACAGACTGATTGGACGATAGCCATCAGGTTTGGTCGCATCCTTACCCGGTTTGGGAAGAAAAAAGATCTTAGCCTGCTTCGAAGGATCAGGAAAATAATTAAGAGTGAGATAAGCGTTGAGAATACTGACGAATTTGCTGATAAGATTTCTATGCAAGTTACCAAGCATTTTATTTGTAATTTGATCACTTCCAGGAATTGTTTTTAACTTTTTTTAGCTGTATTTAGTTTTTTTATAGTTTACAACTTTTAATGAAAATTATTTCTTATGTATTTCTGCCTTGTCACAAAGTGAGAATTAATTAATTAACATAATTGAATTAAAAATGTATCCCTAATCAAATTCAAGGAAATGAGCTTAAATGAAGGGCTGCTGAAAATGCGTATAACTTAATAACCCGTACAAGGAAACCACATGGTGTCAACTTTAAATTTTTTATCCGGTGAATATTGACAAATTCAGTAACTGAAAAATCCTATAAGGACTTGTTTGGTGTTAAACTAAGCAGTTTTGTTCTTTTATTTTACCTCTTCTATGTTCTCTCACTTCCATTTACTGCCAGAATGATATTTCCAGTAGTCGTAGTATTAGTAGTAGTAGTTTCGTAGTAGTAGTTTCATAAAGTAGAGTAGTTTCGTAAAGGTAGAAGGATGCTATTTAAACTGGTGTCTGAGTTACATGAAACAGAGCTTGTTCTGCCTTTAAACCCCGTTGTTTCGCTGATATTTAAGCTTGCCATTTTACTGCCGTTTATATTAATTGCCGGTTTGTTTACGCCGGTGGTAGGGCTAAGAGGACAGCTCGCGTTAATTAACTCTGAACAGTTTTGGCTGATTATTTAACTTTCGGGTCGCTTATTCTCCCATCAATAAAATTCCGAGTTCCATACTCAAGAACCCCCATTCCGGATATGAATTCCTGGGGTATTTATAGGATTCCTTGCCAGTGTGGATTAATTTACATTGGCCAAACTAAGAGAGCCTTAAAATTTCGCGTCAAGGCACATAAGGCATATGTTAGAAAAAAGGAAACACAGAAGTCTTCTGTTGCCCAACGTTGTTGGTCCGAAAATCACACTTTCAATTTTTCTGCTGCCAAATTATTCAAAAAAACATCTTCTATTGGAGAACTGGATTTTCTAGAGGCATTTCACATTCAAAAAAATCTTTCTGTTCTAGTTAACGATCCTAATTCCAATTCATCTTTGCCTTCGGTCTTTAAAGAAATTATGTTTTAGTTCTGGTTTCATCAACAGATGGCGCCACTTGCTTATTCTTGTCCAGGCTTTCTTATCTTATCTAATCATTATATCCTATCTGTTTCATTTGCGCTTTTGCAGCTGAGAATGGTGGTTCGGTAAAACCAACGAAACTAATCCTGTGAAAATTTAAAAATATAGCGCTGATTTTTGTTGTTTGACTTCTGAATTAGTATTTATTAAAATATTTATGGAACGAAAAACTTCACTGCATGTGCATTTACTTATATCATAGTTTGTCTGTTTAAGAAACAAATTAACAGTCCATAGGATTTTAAAAAACAATTGTATTTAACTGTAACTGAGATGCATTGATAATAAAATTTTAAGCCATGGCTAAAGAAGCAAGATATATTTTCATACTAAAACTAAAACACTGCTTGAATTTGACGATGCATTATTTTATCCAATAGGTACTTTCGTTCGCAAATGTTAATAATTATATTTAATTCTATTCAAACTTAATCAGGAATAATTAAAATATAATTAGGTAAAATACAACGTGCTACTAAAAATATAAATTAAATACGTAGATTATTTTTATATATTGTTAGGATTACTTCCTAATAAAATTATTTAAAAGTAATGTAAATATTATTAGTCATTATGTGTTTGGTAACGTGGCTGAAAAAAAGAAATGAATCGTAAAATTTAATTGCAAGAAACAAAAATATTTAGAGAAGCTAATTTTTTTTTTCTTCACTAATTGCTGCATTTTATTTGAATTTTATAGAACAGAAAAAAAATTCTTGCGGTAGAAAAAATAATTATTCTGTTTGCATGAAAGCTTAAAGATAATATTCTGCTCCTAACATTTTTAAAGAATAATTTATATTCTCATTTGCGATTTGTATTTTAAATTGCGAAATGTAACATCTTTATTTATGTTTATCATTAAATTAATTAGTAATAATAAATTGTGTTTCTTGTTAAACTTTGTTCTTTTCTTACTTGGTAGGGTTATTCGTAATTATTTTCACTGCGAAATAAATATTTTCATTATAAGTCATTTTTCAAACTTAAAGATTTAGTTCAAGAGTTTATTGCTTCTGGTTAGAAAACGATTTATATATTTATTTATCTATGGATATATCGTTTTCTAACCAGAAGCAATAAACTCTTGAATTCTTTAAGTTTATTAATCGATATATATATATATA